TGCCCTGCGGAGATGATGACGACGGAGGAGGAGGAGCTATCTGCAGGGGAAGAGGAAGAGGAGGAGCTGGAGAAGGCTCCGGAGATCGATTACGTGTTCAAGATCGTGGTGGTCGGGGATTCCGCCGTGGGGAAAACTCAGGTGCTCGGGAGGTTCACCAGAGACGAGTTCTGTTTCGATTCCAAGTCCACCATTGGAGTCGAGTTTCAGACTCGGACGATTACCATCAACCGCAAGAGGATCAAGGCTCAGATTTGGGATACCGCTGGACAAGAAAGGTACGCACCCGTTATAATATATTAAGCATATATTAGATTTTTCTTCCTATGAAGATCATGCGTCACTCAAATTACAGCAAAAATACAGCAACACGAGTGATCAGCCTCAAATCTAATCCAAGAAGGAAAAAATTAAATCATACACCCATTAAGTTGAACCGCGAATTAAAGCCCATGAACCGGAGGAGCTGAGCTAATTTAGTTGGTCCCGAATTGACTCAAAACGATTAACTCTATTTAATTGAGTCGGTAGTTTAAGCATATTTAACCGTATATCCATCCGTCTGTCTTTCTTTTTATTAATGTGGGTCTAAATCTGATCTCATGCCTTCTAGTGTTTAATGAGACCATTTCCAACTGTGGGTCGACAACGCGGTATCTGTTTTCACCCTAAAATATCCTATAACATCCGTTCAATATATAGAAGAGACCCACAAATTAAACAGACCCCCTGCCTTGCACGGCACTTACCAAGGTTAATTTCCCGCGTGGGCTCCAAAAATCTCCTGTTCATTTGAAGGCCGCCCCCACAACCCACAAAAAAAAAAAAAAATAGAAGGAAGATAACCTCCCATTCATTAATTGTAAATGGCCCAACAAGTGAAAGAAGAAAATAGCTAGCTCTCTTTATCGTAAAGGTTTGTGATCAGTACGTGGAAAACTTTTCTGCATCGATCCAGCTTTGTTAATGACCGTGTCTTTTGCTAAAGTGACAGCTACTTTAATTTACTTTCTTTTACCGCCTCAAAGTTCCATTTTTTAGTGCTTGTCATTGTTGGTTGATTGTTTCACCAACAACAAACGTCCAAAATCATATACTCTATAGGATACCTATGATGAAGACACTTTTGTCCATTCACTGGGGGAGAAAATAAAAAATAATAAAAAAAATGGAAACCTGTGAAGTGGATAGTCTTATTATCTGAAACAAGCCCATTAGATCAATAGACTGAACCATGTAAAGGATGCAAAATCATATCTTCATTAATTATTCGAAATGTCAATTATGAGAGGAAACATGCATCTTCAAAATTTTAACAGAGAGCCCCATGTAAAGGATATGCAAAAGTTGTTTTAATTTAATGCCGATTTCCCCGCTAACTACCCCTAGCTACTACTGGGGGACCGATGGAGACCTTTAACAGATATTATTGCTATCAATATGTAGCTAGCTAGTCATCCACAGCTTAATTAACTCATCGACTTTACTATAATTTCTAAGCACAGCACCATCTTACATTTTCATTTGTCACTGAAGTTATAAAGTAATTAACCATCCAAATATAATATACGTCGAAGTCCCACCTACGTACGTACGAAGTTGCTTAGGACTGCGTATCTGTCTTCTTTCATCACCGCATAAATTATTATGTGTGTGTGTCCAACATAGTCCAAATCAACAACGTTTCCATTGCACAATTTCGACGTACATATATCCAACTCTCCTCGATCGTCTGCATCAACAACGCCTTTGAAATCTAGATGCGTGGATAAGATCAGCCTTATAACTTCATCTATGACGCTGCATTTGGTATCAAACAAAACTGTCCATGTCACGATGTGGGAAAAGATAAACGAAGAAAGAAAGAAATTAAAAAGAGAAAACAAAGACGAGCTCAACAGACTGAAGAATAACCCAAAAAAAAAAAAAACGTTTTCATGTTGAAATGCGTGGTTCGGAAATTTTTTAAGGTGAATCTAGGAAAGCTCTTCTGTCTCACCTCTACATGCGTGTTCAAAAGTTGAAACACCACGCCGGGACGATAAAGAAGATGTTATAGCCATATGCGTAGTTACTTTTCTTTTTTGATTCAATTTATTTATATGTTTTGGATAAGGGGGATTTTTTTAAAAAAAACTGATTTTGCTAAATAATTAGCAAAATAGACTATTTTGCTAATTATTTAACAAAATAGACATCTTTTTGGCCTGTTGACCAAAAAGATATCGATTTTAAAAAACAGACTGCTGAAAACATACGGGACTACTAGTAGTCCCGTATGTTTTTTGTAAGCACTAATCCTCGATTAGTACACTGAAAACATACGGGACTACTAGTCCTGTATGTTTTCAGCAGCCTGTTTTTTAAAACCGACATCTTTTTGGCTTGTTGGCAAAAAAGATGTCTATTTTGCTAAATAATTAGCAAAATAGTCTATTTTGCTAATTAATTAGCAAAATAGTCTATTTTGCTAATTATTTAACAAAAACGGCCTTTTTTAAAAAAATCCCCTTTGGATAACATTTACAGCACTAATTTCAACCAACATCTGAGCTAGGGAAGCGGTTGTTATTAATTTCAAGATTTGTTAATTTCGGTGGTATTACATAGAACATACACATGTGTCTACCTACTGTTGATGTGTGTGTAGACTCTCATAAAGGCGATGTGCTTCTAAATAGGGTTGAACAATGTTTTCATGCAGGCTCATTCTATATATAGAACATATATAAAAAGCAAGATCTTTCTAATAAACCATCCGAGTGGATACCTTTACTGCAAATACATCAGGATGCATTTATAATCTCATCTCGAGTGAATTCATTTCGGTACCGTTTGGCAAAGGGTTAAGTGAGGGGTTAAGGAGACTTAACCCCTTCTTAACCTGTCAAACACAACAAATTTATATAAGGGTTAAAGTGAGTTAACCCTCCATAATTTGCCAAATATAAAAAATATAAAAGGGTTAAGTTAACCCCTCTAGAGGGGTTAAAATGAGTTAACCCCTCAAAATGAGGGGTTTACTAATACTCCTATTTAGATGGAATAAGAGTTAACCCTTCTAATTGTAAAGAAAATAGTTAAAATCATTGTTATTCCCAAACACTAAAACTGATCATAAGGGTTAAAATAAAACTTATTTAACGGATTAATAATTTAGTCATTCGGATTATCAAATGGGCTAAGTACATTAATCCTTCTCTTTAACCCCTCTTCAAATGGGCTAAGTACATTCGATGTTAATAAGATTTTAGCTGCCCCACAAAATTGCGAGCTCGGTCAATCGTTTTCTTTGCATGTATTCATGTAATAACTTGTATATCTATTAAATAGTTCTAAATTTAAAGCCTTCACGATGTGGAAAAAGCCTTGTTGTATTTATCCGTCACGGTTAATTACATGTTCCTCTTCCCCCCCTTCGCATTCTAACAAGTTCGGGTGCCGGATGCAGGTATCGGGCGGTCACCAGCGCTTACTACAGAGGTGCTCTGGGGGCAATGTTGGTCTACGACGTTACAAAGAGGCAAACGTTCGATCACGTCGCGAGGTGGCTCGAGGAGTTGCGAGCCCACGCCGACAACTCCTTGGTCATCATGCTGATCGGGAACAAGGCCGACCTCACCGGTCAAAGGGCCGTCTCTAAGGAGGACGCGGTGGAGTTCGCGGAGGAACAGGGGCTGTTCTTTTCAGAGACATCAGCGCTAACCGGAGACAACGTGGAGACCGCGTTCTTAATGCTTATAGAGGAAATCCACGGGGCGATCTCCAAGAAGGCCCTGGAGTGCGACGAGGGGAGGTCGAAGGATGATCACAGCGACGTGTTGATGCTACAAGGAACCAAGCTGGCGGTTTTATCGGAGGGATCCATGATGGAGACTAGCGCCATGAGAAAGGGGTCTCCATGCGCTTGTTCGTAACGTCGGCTCCGAGCTCGATCGGAGCGTACTGTACTTATTTGGTTCGAGGCTTTGGCGTGTTTCTATTGAGTTTAAAGGTTTGAAAGAATGTATTAATTTCTACCAAAAAAAGAGAGAGAGAGAGAGAGAAATGTGTTTCCTTCAGCACAAGTATATTTGAGAATTTATGCGTTTAAAATGCCTACATCAACCTCCACATGCAATCATTAACATTGGACAAATTTTCAAAACCAACATATTTGAAAATTTAATCCCAAAAAACAATCCCTTTCAAACTTAATTGCGAAAACCGACCTGGTTTCAGCCTTGGCACTGAAACCAGGTCGGTTTTTGTGAAAAAACTTTGGAAGCTTCACGGGAGTTGAACTCCCGTGAAGTTGAACTCCCGTAAAGTTTCGCAGTTCAAAAAAAAATTGAACTACGAAACTTCACGGGAGTTCAACTCCCGTGAAGTTTAGCAGTTTTACTAAACTTCACGGGAGTTCAACTCCCGTGAAGTTTCGTATAAATTTTTTTAAAAACCGACCTGATTTCAGCTCCAGGACTGAAACCAAGTCGGTTTTTGAAATTTTTTACAAAAGCGGTCGTTTTTTGAAAATAAATAGTGAAAAGCGGTTGGTTTTGAAAATTTGTCCCGGAAACATTTAATACGAGATCGAAACTTGACTTCGATCTACTAAGAGCATCTCCAACAGCTTCCCCAAAATTTTCTCCAAAATGGAGAAACAAAAGTCATATTCTCCAAATTATTTTTGCTCCAACTCCAACAGCTTCCCCATTTTGAAAAATCGCATTTATTACAATAATAAAGCTCTCCCCAAAAATTTGGAGAATGCTGCAGATTTGGGGAAGGCTCCCTATTTTTTCTCATCCTTCCCTATTTTGGGGAATGAGATGGGGAATCTGTTGAATAAAAAAAAAGCTCTATATTCTCCAAATTTGAGTATTTCAAGAAGATGGGGAAGCTGTTGGAGATGCTCTAAGCATCAATCGCAACCAGTAACAGAAAACACCAGAAATCAAGAAAGAAAGAGAATCCAGTGCTCATTTTGGAGTTCAAAGAGAACGGTAGAATAGTACTCACGTTCGGTTGCTCCCACATCAAAACGGAGACTGATCAGATCCATGCTTGAGGGGTGGGGAGAGAGACCGGCGGTACTTGGACTCCTTGATTGGATCGGACTTCGAAGGTAGGAGCATAACTGGACTGGGCCGTTGAAGTGTGCTTAAAACTGAAGGCAGGCCCAGGCCACTGATCTCTTGGACCCCGAGCGTAATTTTTTCCTGCTTCAAAAGCCCATTAACCTATCGGACTCTATCCGGGAAACAATAGTTTTAGGGGTTCTATTATTGGGTAGCCCAAAGCTTTAAAATTGTTTATTTTTTAGACCATCCACTTGGAAAATGATTCCTGAACCCAAAATACTTAATGCTGAATTGCTTTTAAGTGTTAGTTATTGCTATACCAAATATAACAATTTAGACCTAAACAAAACGGTCAATAACTCGAATGTTGTAGCTTGGACTCAAATATACGAAACCACCAAGGATTGTAGTGGTTTTTCAGGGAATTACCATGACTTTTCAGTTTTCATGAAACTACAATAATAATGTGCACCTTAACAAATTGTTATCAAGTGATACTTTCATTCATATTCTGCTAAATAATATGTAAATCTCCAAAATATGCTCATAATGAAACCCACCTATCTTTTATTATATTTTCTCATCCTATCAAGCACATTTCTTCTGCTGAGGTTATTAATATGTGAGCATATAGTTTCATATTGGATAGAATAAAAACGACTAATGAATTTAATATAAGAGTTGGGGCCAATACCTGATAATTAGAGCTTTTGGGTTAAAATCGGTTTCTAATCCCTGTTTAATGTCCATCAACTCTAGGATGAGCATGATTCTTCCCCAAACAAAATGATATCGGAGCTACGTTATGGCACAAGAAAAAAAAGAAAGTGAGGATCAACGTGAAGGTCAAAGTAAGCAGAAGATTAAAGTAAGTGGAAGGTAAAACTATACTCATAAATTGATGGCGCGGAGATGTTAAAGTTATTAGTATGCGGGTATAGTCTTACATTGAATATGATAAAAAAAAAATGATATGTTTAAAATAAAACTTGGAGCTAATATCAATAATTATAGCTTTTCGGTTACAGTTGATCCCTAGTCCCTGCTCAAAGCAGCTTCCCTCAAAAAATTGATCTACTCCCTTAATTTTTTGTATAAGTTAGTCAATGTGGGTGTTTATGCGATTTCAATGGGAATGGAATTATGATTTGGTGGCACTTTGTTTAGGGCGCACATTATAATGGTGGGTTTATAAAAACTGAAAATTCCGGATTTTGATGGTTTAGGTACAAATCTCAAAAAAAAATTTCCTATTTTACTTCTCTCTGTTTAATAAAGAAGATGATTGTTGCTGCTGCTGCTTCCATTAATATAATAGCAGTAAAGCCCAGCGTTCTCTCTTCTTCTTTGTTCTCTTCAGACCTCAATCTCTTTCCTTCTTCTTCTTCCTCTTCCTCCGTTGGGTTCAGATCCTTCTCTCACCCTGCTGCTCCCTCTTCCCTCCAAGTTAGATGTGCGGCCACCAAACAAGTCAAATCACCAGGTGTTTCTTTTTATTTTATTTTATGTTATGTAAACATATATTTAGCAAATCTGGTAATGGGTTTTGCTCACCTTGCTGTTTTATGCATTTGTTTATTGTTTATTTATTTTTTTTGAGGGATTTATTGCAGCTGATGAGGACTGGAAGACGAAGCGCGCTGTTCTGCTTGAAAAGAGGGTAATAATTTTTTTTAAAAATTTCTTTTAAATTTTTTTCGCTTCCACTTCTCTTCCTTGAAATTCTAATGTCTGCGTTGCTCTTCAGTGACTTGATTTTGATTTGTTTTGCTTCTTGCTCACTTCGTATATCAGGACCAGCTACTAGTTATGAGTAGATTAATATCTAAATGTAGTAAATATATATGTTGTTTTGAAAACCGAGATGGTCAGCGATCAAAGTCACTCATTACCTTAATAGTTGTTTTGAAACTGTTCTACTTTCTCTCACTAAATTGCATTGTTCAAAGTAGTTCAAGTATGTACGCTGTGTTCAGTGGCATTAATCTTCTGAATTAGACCTCACCCTGTGAATTATTTGCAGGTCCGGAGCGTAGATGTAAAAGAAGCTTTACGGCTTCAGAAGGAAAACAATTTTGTTATTCTGGATGTTCGTCCTGTAGCTGAGTACCAGGAGGTTTTCTTCTATGCTTTGCAGAGTAGCTAATCGTTATTTCATTCGGAACTTTTGATGCGTTGACATTTTGACATCGGCTCCACCATAATGTTAGGAGAGCAAAGCTAATACTAAGAGAATGATGTGAAGCCTAGATGTCGATACTTCACTCACTGTTAAGAGAACAGAGGCATATATGCACATATCGCTTTGCTTAACATTAATCCCCTTCTCTTTCGGATGAGTTTGAACTTTTAAGAAGATGAAAAAAAAAATAACTTGCTATTTCTAAGGAATATACCTTTTCGCCGTTTGACTCGAGCTCATTATCAATATCTAATAGCATAAGTTGTTTCGTCGTACATGCCTTTAGATGCCTTTAGATGTAGGCTAGTTTTTCCATCCAAACTTGAAACCTTGATGCTGGCTTTTGAGAGATCAATAAAAGAAGTAAAACCATATTAATTCCTGGATAATGTGATACAATGAAACTGTGTTGTCGTCTATAACATCTTACACCTGCTCGCCAAGCATTCCCTTGAACTTGGATAGTTTTCATAAATCAACCTATTAATAAGCACGTTCCGGTGTCACTTACTGAACCTCTTCATTTAGTTTTAATTAATGGGGTTCCAGGCATCATGACTGTTGACTTTTTGATCATTCCTATAGCTGTCAGTAAAACTTTTGCAGGCGCATCCTCCTGGTGCTATCAATGTACAAATTTACAGGCTGATCAAGGAATGGACAGCATGGGATATTGCTCGCCGTGCGGCATTTGCATTCTTTGGCATATTCTCTGGCACAGAAGAGAATCCTGAGTTCGTACAAAGTAAGCTACTCAAACCTGTAAAGAGAACAATTTTACGTTAAGTATTATCATTTTTTTTAACCACAGGCCTCAAATTACAAGTGGACTTCTTACAGGTGTGGAGTCAAAACTAGATAAAGATGCCAAAATAATTGTCGCATGTTCCACGGGTGGAACGATGAAACCTACACAAAATCTCCCAGAAGGCCAACAATCCAGGTAGTCTTTTATTTGAGAAAGTAAGGGCGGTTCTGGTCCATTGTATTATTAACGGTGTACCAAAGGGATATCATACCTCTGTATCTCAGCGTGCAAACTTCCATAGACATATGGATAATTGGTTACATAAGTCATCGAAGATTAAACTGTTGATTTCGACTTTCTTAAGTCAGTCATTGACACTTTCTGCGCGCCCCTTGAAATATTTGTTATGGCATGCAAACCTCTGATGGTTTGCAGGCGCATCCTCCTGAATCACTTTGTATATAATTTCTATATGGGCATGGTTTCTTCTGATTATCTTTTCTTATCTTTAGGACATAGAGAATTAGCATGCTGTCTTATTCCATGGGAGGATTTATTTGTGTTTATTTTGGTGGCAGGTCCCTGATAGCAGCATACGTACTGGTATTAAATGGGTACAAGAATGTATTCCATCTCGAAGGAGGGCTCTACTCCTGGTTCAAAGAAGGGCTCCCTGCTGTCGGTGAAGATGAATGAAACTTCAAGAACTCGGCCGACTTCTTATAATGTTGAGTCTTTTATTTTGTTCCTGAGCTCGTTAAGGTTCTCGGTTGAGTAATTATGTACATTGTACAGCTGTACGCGTGAGAGATCTGATTCCTTCTTTCTGAATTGGCCTCCTACATCAAAACCAAATGTGGTAATCGTTTCTTGCAATAATTTCCGTATGCCTTTAGTGGATGTATACATGAACGAAGATGTTTGCCAGACTATCCGATGCATGAATAGGTCGACAAAAATCTGACGACAACCGTGGTTGCAATATATCTGCAAAGGCGAAAATCGAATAATGCATCTTGGCAACTTTTAGTTGGCGTAACCAGGATTCAAACTTGGGCAAGAATTAGCCGCCTTTGAGTGCGTGTCATGCCCCCCCCCCCTAAACGCTTTGCCACCACTATGAACGGACTTAGCGCAGCAACAAACAAAAACCAATTCAGGCCATTAGTCTTAGTCTGTCAAATAACTGGATCAAATAATTTAAACTGATTTTGTGTTGCGATAAGTCTGCGTGAGTCACTCCCAAACGTTAACAAAGCCAGCTTTGATCTTCCTGAATAAATATTGATGTTAGTTTGAAGATAAAATTATAAAAGTTTTTTCCCCTCTCATGAAAACCATCTTTAAAATTAGGTTGAACCGATTGAAGCTGCATTTGAAGCCTTTTATTTTTATTTAAAACGTAATCTTATGAATGACTTTAGCTCCCAACCAATCACTTTTTATCAGAAATGTCAACTAATACGCAAACTATTGTCAATGATTACGCGGGCCTAACATGTGTTTGCCAACTACACACATAACTAGCGAGGATAGTTTAATTAAAAAGGTATTAAATGACCAAAGTTTGACAAAAAATTTGTTGATCCAGAGTAAAACCCGTTAATATTGTAGTTTACGTATAAAAAAAAACTTCAGAGCTAATTTTTAAAGATTCGGTCTTTTTAAAATATGATATTTATATAATAAAAAGATCCCAAATTTAATTGAGCACTGGGGCCACTTTCGACGGCAAAAATTGGTCAGACTTAATTGTTGAGCGTGTAAATAAAGAGAATTTCTACGCTACCCATTACTTGTACCCAATCCTTTATTTCTCGACTACCTTCAATCGCCAATCATCACACTCTCTCTCGTCTCCTCAAAATCAAGCTCCCTCAGACCTCTCATTTCTATTCAATGCACTTCCAGTTCCATGATCACTACGAGCTCAGATTCAATCCCATCTCCCTTCTGTGCGAACTTTGCAACGCTGAGGTTGCGCTTAAGGTGCTCGATGAAATGCCCGAGTGGAGAGTGGAGCGAAAATCTACGGTCTTGATTGATGAGAAAAGTCAAGAGATGAAGCTAAAAATTTGCAGTTTGGATTATGGATGATATGGAGGCGAATTGGGTTTCTGCGAACAAAGCCCTTTTTCAAAACGGGAATGAAGACATTATCTTGATGCTTAAATCTTGGTCGTTATTCAGTTTTTAGATCTTGATATGGGGGCAACTTGGTTTTTTTCCCCTCTTTTTTCTTTTCTTTCTTTTTTTTTTTTGAGAAAAACCCCATTCGAGAATGAAAGATGCTAGTGTATTGCAGTGGAAAGTCAGACAAGTTGTTGAATTTCTTAGGATTATTGAGGTTTAAATACTGGGAAATTTGGGTTCAAATTGGATACCCCATTTCTTCCCAAATAAGCTCAAGGTTAACCTCAAGGAGGTACGAAGTTTTCACGCCTTGAATATTGTAAGTATGCTGCATTTGTCTGCATCAGTTATCAGTCACACCTTATGATGGAACGCTTCTGTTTATGTGCAGAGAGAGTCATCTTCTTCATCTATAATCTTATCGGAATCTCAGCGAACAACCAAACAAAGGGTTGTCATCAACCTATACTTGTAAGCACTCATAGCCCTATATTTTCAATGTGACCTTACAATTGTCCTTATGGGTTTTATCAATGTTTTACATCAGTTTTAACAAGTTCTCCTGCAATATCTAATTTACATCGTTTTGTCCTTGTGTAAACCGAATTCTTAATTTAAGCAAATCAAACTAAACTTAATTTTTGATTATCATAATACCAAGATCTAGAACAATATGATTTTCACGAAGAATAATTTAATTACGAGAGCGTACCTTGACCCATGATTGCAGGAAGAACAACGTTGAAGACCTGAGTTTTCTCTCTCTTAGCCCTCTTGAATTTTTCCGAATTATTTTCTTGATGGAGAGAAAAATTTTCACGTTATGGGTAGAGAGAGGACTAAGCCTTAAATAGAACAATTATCCCACGTTCCATAAACATGAGCGGTTATTTGACAATCTTATCTCCAATTAAACTAACCAATAGGAATTTAGTTCTTAATATTATTAAACCATGATTATCCTTTAACTAAACAAAACGTGGTTTAAAAACTGTTACCACTAAAAATGTGATTTTGAAAAAACGTGTCTACAAGAGTAACTTTAAAAAGTGATTAAAGTTAAAACGTGGATACGTGAGTCACAAAATCTAACATTCTCCCACTTGGCCCATGTATCATAATTTGACTTTATGGTTTAATAATACAACATCATATGCATAGTATAAGCTAATTTCATTATTATATTGATCAAATCATCAATCATCATTAAATATAAAACTAATAAGGATCATGGTGATCATACACAGTTAAATCGACATAGTCCCTTTCATGTATCACAATATTAGTTTTAAACTTAACATGACCTGTAATGAGATTTATCATAATGGCCCAACGATAATGTCCTTGTCAAAGACATACCCTATTAATATTCACAAAGTTATTCATGTATATACTAACAATAATAAACAAGATGCATTAATATATCAGAAACAATATTTAGATGAGCTCAAAGTATCAAATATATAAAGAGCATGAACTTTACATAAAAATTAGTAATTCAATAATGCCCATTCTTTCAACATGTTCAGTAAATGTCTTTGGTGGCAATCTTTTTATTAAACGGATCCACAACTATGAGATTTGTGCTAATATGCTCAATTGACACTATTTGTTTCTGAACTTCTTCTTTAACGGCAAAGTATTTTAATTCCATATGTTTAGCATCCTTCGAATACTTATCGTTTTTAGAAAAGAAAACTCTTGTAGCATTATCACAATAAATTTTCAGCGGCTTGACAATACCGTCAATAACTCCCAAGGCCTGAAATGAAATTTCACAGCCATAATCCATGAACAGTGACCTCAAAGCATGCCACGAACTCAACCTCCATAGTCGATGCAATAATGACAGACTGCTTCGCACTTTTTCACGAGATCGCTCCTCCAGCTAGAAGAAACAGATAGCTAAATGTGGATTTTCTTGTATCCAAACATCCTGTAAAATCTGAATCTGAATATCCAATCACTTCAAGGTGATCAAATCTCCTATAAATGAGCATATGATCCTATAGCTATAAGTGAGCATATGATCCTTTGTTCCTTGCAAGTATCTCAATACTTTCTTTGCAGCTTTCTAATGATCCAATCCTGGGTTACTTTGATATCTACCCAGCATTCCAACAGCAAAACTAATATCTGGCCTTGTACAGACCTGAGCATACATCAAGCTCCCAACGATAGATGCATAAGGAATTTGTTCCATTTGTTTGTGTTCCAATTCATTCTTTGAACATTACATAAGACTGAATTTGTCCCTTTTCTGAATTAGAACAGATGCAGAGCATTTATCCATCTTGAACCTCTCTAGAACTTTATTAATATATGATTTTTGAGACAACCCTAACAATCATTGTGATTTGTCACAGAATATTTTAATTCTAATCACATAGGATGCCTCACCCATATCTTTTATTTCGAAGTTCTTAGAGAGAAATTTCTTGGTCTCGTGTAACAAACCAAGATCATTAGCAACAAGCAAGATATCATCAACATACAGAATAAGAAATATAAACTTGCTCCCACTGATCTTTAGATATATACACATCAACATACAGAATAAGAAATATAAACTTGCTCCCACTGATCTTTAGATATATACATCGATCAACGATGTTTTCTTTAAATCCAAAAGATGTGATAGTATCATTAAACTTAAGATACCATTATCGGGAAGCTTGTTTGAGTCCGTATATTGATCTCTTAAGTTTACACACCATGTGTTCCTTTCTTTCAACTGAAAAACCCTCAAGTTGGTCCATGTAAACTTCTTCATCTAAATTTTTAATTTAAAAAAGTAATTTTCACATCCATTTGATATAGCTCTAAATCATAATGAGCCACCATAGTCATAATAATTCTAAATGAATTCTTTTTTGAAACATGAGCGAATGTTTCTTTATAGTCAACACTATCATTCTGAGTAAAACATTTGGTAACGAGTCTAGCCTTGTATCGTTCAATATTGCCATTTGAGTCGTGTTTGGTCTTAAAGACCCATTTACATCCAACTCTTTTATAACCTTTAGGCAATTCTACAAGATCTCAAACTTCATTATGCTCTATTGATTTCAACTCATCTTTCTTGGCATCAAACCATTTATCAGAATTATGACTTTTTATGACCTGTGAAAATGAAACCGGATCTTCATCAATTCCAAAGTCATGTTCTGACTCTTGTAGATAAACCACATAATCATTAGAAATAGCAGATTTTTTGTCTTTGAGACCTTCTTAGTGCTACTTCTTCATGGGGTATATCTATTGTAGGTTCATTGGTAACAACGTCTTCATGGAGTGTTTGATCATTTATTTGTTGTTCTTGCAAGTCGTTAAATTGTTCAACAACTGTAGGAACAACAACTTGAGAAGAAATTAAAGGTAAATGAACGTTCATTCTAACTTTTTGGATTTCCACTTTACGTGGTTCTATACTCCCACTAATGTCACCATTTTCAATGAACCTGACGTTTCCAGTTTTAACAATTCTCGTACTATGGCTAGGACAATAAAATCTATACTCTTTAGATTTTTTTGGATAACCAATTAAAAAACCACTGGTTATTCTTGAGTCCAGTTTCTTTTCATGTGGATTATAAATTCGTATTTCCGTAGGACAAGCCCAAACATAAAGGTGTCTCAAACTGGGTTTTCTTCATGTCCATAGTTCAAAAGGAGTCTTTGGAACTGCCTTATTAGGAACCCTGCTTAACAAATACATTACGGTTTTTAAAGCATACATCCACAATGACAAGGGTAAAGAGGAATAACTCAACATACTC